CGTGGCGCATTTCAGTCGCGTTTATCGTCCGTCATCCTATTGCCAGCAATCACTCGAAAATTCGATTACAATTGGAAAACAATGACCAAAGTCTGACCCAAGAAAGCTGACAACGTGAAATGACAGGAAAAGGTACGTCATATGTTGTTGATTCGAGAAAAGAGATAAATGTGCTGATAGAGAGAGAGAGAGAGAGTAATGCGCTGGAGAATTTACAACACGTCGTGATAAATATACACGCAGATACACAGAACGTAATTTTATTTTGGGAAGATAAGAAGAAACTTTTACTTATCCCAGATTATGAAGGAATTCAAAATTCAACGTACTTCTTGTTTGCACCTTTAAGAAGAAGTCCTTGCGGCAGACAAATAACCGTTAAAGTTTAGCACTACCTTCAGTTAAGGCTTAAAGGCTCACTAGAGTAACGACATAAAAGTAAAACGAAAAAGATATATATGACGTGTTCTTCGAGTACTTAAAAATGGAAGGAATAATTTAAGAAAATTTCAGGGAGCCACCGACTAAATTATTGAAGCGAGTGAAATGGTGTCGAAGAAGACGACGTCACTCATCGTCAGTGGCGTGGGACTCATTATTTCTGTGACAGCCATTGTTTTGGCAAGCTGGGGATTTGATGAGATCGTGAACGAACAAATTGAGAGTGTACGACAATTGACTTATTCTTCTTGGTTTTCCTGAAGTTTTGAGATACATGAGAACCGATCAAATTGCAGGAACTTCGACTGGACATCAAAGGGAGTGAAGCTTACAAAAACTTTGAGGTGACACCTATCGATATTTACATGAAGTTCTTCATCTTCAATATCACGAACTTCGATGAAGCGGAAACTGCAGGGAAAAACTGGAAGCCCAAAGTGCAAGAAGTGGGGCCTTACACTTACGTGTAAGAATTTTTATCACTTTTCAATCTAAAAGAGTTTCTTCTAGTCCAGCGAAATATCCAATTACCATCTGAAAAAAAATTCGAAGAGCTCCTCAGTTTTTTTTTCGCTGAATAGTATTTTGTTCTTCGCAGGGAGAAAAGGTTCAAGGAGAATATATCCTTCATTAACAACAAGGAACAAGTGGAGTTTCTCCAGATAAAGACGTTTCATTTTGATGCCGCCAGAAGTGGACCAAATCTGTCTGAGGATGACATGTTGATAGTTATCAATGCTCCAATTCTGGTGAGGAGAATCATTTTTAGATTTATTTGCTGAAAAACAGTCCAATTTCCTGACAAAGACACTCCAAAAGCAAAATTGAAACGGTCGCCCTTGAATTAATCTTCGCACTATCGTGTATGATATACAGTAGTTCTGCTTTGTTCTACCATAATGTAATAAAGTATAACTGAAACTTGACACTGAATAGGGTTGTTTTCTATGCATGTTTTTATTGAACATCCAATGGATGATGATGAAAATTGAAGCTCGTTGTTGTTAAGTGCAGTTCACACAAGCATCAGCAATATGAGAAAAAGTTTTCCTTTTATTTTTCAAAGTATTTCGGAAGAAGTTTTAATATATTTCATGTTTTTGTGACTATTGTGAAGGGAGTTACCGAGCTTTTGCACGTAATTCTGGCAATCGATTCTGTGATGTTGGTCACAATAGGATTCACATTATTAGTAGTCTTTTTATTTTTGCAAAGTATTTTCTGATAAGATTATAATTTACTTCATATTCTTCTGAATAATGTAGGGAGTTTTGGAGCTTTTGCAATCAATTCTGCCGTCAACGATGTGGGGCACAATTGCCTCAATCATGAGAGACGAACCCATAAACCCAGCTTTCTTCACTGGTACAATGAAGGAACTCATGTTTACTGGAGCACCGTCGGTTTTCTTGACAAAACTCATGGTTATCTTGGAAACATTTGGTGGCATCTTGCCAGAAATCCCGGAATTCCCGGCGAACATCAAGCCCCTGTCCACTGGTGAAACTGGGTTCGCTTTTTTCCCTGTAAGTATTCTGGAACATATGCCCTATACCAGTGTTCTTCAACCTTTTTGGGCCTGCAGACTGGCAAATTTCCATAACAATTTTTGGTGACCGGGAAGTTTTCCAAAAAATGTTCTGCAGACTGGCAAAGTTTTGTAATATTTTTGCACACTCGAAAAAGTTTAGCCTGAAATACATTATGGTAGGTGTTGAAAAAGTATCGGCTTTTTTGTGAAAAAATTAAATTAAGAACTATAATGAAGCAGCTGTATGGTGGAAATGTCGGAAACAAATATAAATGAGGGCTTGGAGAAACAATTCTCAGAATAAAAACTAAAATAATTTATTTCATCAGGTGAAACTTTGTCTGAAGTGTTATTAGGAGAAAAGCCTAGTTTAATTTGTCATGAGATAATTTTAACTGCAATAAGTTTTAACTGTCTTACAAGCATTTCAAATAAAGATACTATAATGTCCTCTGTTGATAGTTTTGAGGAATTTAAGATGCTTGAGAAAATTTCCCACAAACCAGCCAAAAACATCTGTGGACTGGCGCTGGCCTGCACACCACAGGTTGGGGAAAACTGCCCCACACAACCTTTTTGAGCCTGTAATGAACTGGTAAGTTTCCATGAAATTTTTTGCAGACCAATAAATTAAAAAAAATTTCTGACTGTCAAAGTTCAATAAAATATTTTCAAACTACAAAAAAAAGATTTTGTTAAAAAGACTTCATGGCAGGTATTCAAAAAGTTTCTGCTCTTTTTTTTGAAAATTATGAATTACAAGGAAGCAGCTTTATAGTGGAATGTCTTCAAACATTAAAAGGTGGCCTTGAAGAAAGGTTTTTCATTATTGAAAAGGTCAAATAATTTATTTCATTCAATGAAAATTGGTCTGAGATGTTATCAGGTGAAAAGCCAACTTTTATTTTTTTATCAGATAATGTCAACTGCCATTGTCTCTCAAAATTTCTTGATAAAGATAACAAACTTCTTTGCTCTTTAATAATGACTTTATTGTGCTGAAGAAAATTTCCCCAAGACATGAAGCTTCTGAGGTCTGTGAGCCAGTCCATGGACCATGGGTTGGGAAGACTGGCCCATATTGTCTGATGAAATTAGAATTCCATTTTTTGTACTGTATGGGAGTTTTTCAGTTTAACATCTCAACAATTGTCTGGCAAAACCCTGCGGTTCATTTCTCACGTATTTGAGACAGCTGTTTGTTACCAGCATTGGCCTTCATGCAGCCTCCAAACTTTGAGAAGAGTTTATTGCATAATTTGTGGTTTCTCAAAATTTTATTTTAGTATATGAATTTTTTAATGGCACTATATATATATATATATATATATATATATCTATATATATATNAAACTTTGAGAAGAGTTTATTGCATAATTTGTGGTTTCTCAAAATTTTATTTTAGTATATGAATTTTTTAATGGCACTATATATATATATATATATATATATATATATATATATATACTGAGTAGTTCCACCAATGTGCATCAGTTGAACCTTCTTTAAGTCAAACTCAGCACAGAATAACAAAATGGAGGACGTTTCTGAGTTTGGGAAAGGAGGATTTGTTCTTCAACGAAAGATTTTTGAAGGATTACACGAAAGTTAATAACCATGTTCTGGACCAAAACTAATTTCATGACAATGGAGTTAACTGAACTTATAAATGAGGCCTAAATTTGCGCCATTATAGTCCCTCATCTTCTTTTGGAAAGCATCGTTATATGTTTCTTTTTCTCTTATATGAGTAAATCCTTGGATTGAAAAAAAATTGCGTGAAGGACTGAAACAAACTGAGTTAGATTTATGGGGAAGTATTTGAGTTAGCTATATATAGATCTGATCTCAAAGGAATTCAGATGGTGACTCGAAAATTTTTCTCTCCGTATAAAACTGAGGTCTTCCAAAAAATAAATATCGTTTTATGTTCGCATTATGTCAAGTTCGTACTCGTTGACGTCACTTCCTGTCGTCAACATCGAACTTTTTGAAAGTAAATCCAACTATTCCAGCTTTTTATTCTACATATATGCGGTAATTTTGAAGATTGTTTTGATTTGAAACCATTCAAGCAGAGAGTATGCATCCAAATGTGCTTTTTTTCCTGCTCCAGAAAAATGGTTCCGCAGAAGGCCCATATACTGTGCACACTGGCAAAGCTGGACTGGGCAACTACCAAGATATCATAACTTTCGAGAACAAAACTCATTTGGGTTATTGGAATGATCAGCCAGAAACAACCCCAGAGAACAGTTGCAATCGAGTCCGTGGGACTGATGGCACAGTGTTCAAGCCCTTCATCAAGAAGACCGACAGACTGAACATTTTCGACACCAATACTTGCAGGTTCTGAAACTCAAACTCTTGAATCTCTTTAATTGATCTCAATTGGAAAGTTTTGTTCGACATTTGTCAAATTCACTAGAGAAAAAAGTCTGAACAGAAGCTTTGAAGACGTCTATTTTGCACAGATACTACGGTTATACTGAATTATAACAGGAGTACCCCATAATAAATCGTACGCATATGATTTCAGCAAAGAACACGACTATATTTGCAGAAACATGTCAAATATTATCCTCCTGTATGATTTTTGATCGCTGCTTGCTGATAATTCTTTTCATGTCATTGCTGCAAAACTCTGTCAAATGTAAACAAGTTTAATGTCAATTACACAGACAGTTACTGAATCCTCACATAATCTCCCTGTAATAAAATTTACAGATATGCTATCAGCAAAGAACATGGATATTAACAGAAAAATCTCAAATATTGTCATCCCTTGTGATTTTTGATCCCCTGATTATTATTGATTCTTGTCAGCTCTCCCAAAAACTCTGTCACATTCCAGAAAATAAAGCTTGATGTAAATTTTGAACAAACACCTATAGTGAATTCTCACATGAGCATACCCTGTTCTGTAATACAAATTTCACATGTCATATCAGCAATGAACATGAATACAGGCAACTCCTGCCCAACAGACTGCCTCTCAATGCAGTTTTTCCTCTTGCATAACAGACAAATCTGCAAAACAGATTTCAGTCTCTATGTAGAAGTGTATGTCACCAGTGGATGTGAGTCCCTCCAGTTACATCCCTCCTAGCTTTCCAACTGAATTTACATAACAGAGTTTTCACATAACAGACTAGTCTGTTGCATAAATTAAGTCCATTGCGTGGGGGTCAAAATACTACATTTGAAGACAATTGTCATGTACAGTACTGTCCTCCCAGCATGTGATTGTTGATCACCTACTTGACTCCCATTAGGTCTTTGCAAAACTCTGACGTGCTGAAAATAATTCTGAATGCCAATTTCTGGGAATTGTGGTATACAGGAGTACAGGACATACTTTTCTGAAAAATTCCTTATGTAAAAACAGGAAGTGGGCCATACCATATACAGTATAGTTGAATATTGTGCTTCAATTCATTCCAATGCGCAAATACATGTGTATGTTGCTATAGTTCTTCTTGGATCCCAGAAAGGTGAATACAGTGGCCTCCTGCATATCAGACCTCCGGCATAAGGAATTTTTGCCCAACAGACCAGCTCTGTAGGCATTTTTTTTCTTCTGCCTAACAGACAAAATCCTCCAAACAGACATCTGTTGGTTTAAAATTACTGTTGACGATTGAAAGTTTCAGTTTTTCATAAAATTAAATTAGTCTAAAGGAATTTTTGTTCAACAGACTTGTCCATTGCACAAATTAAGTCCATTAGTTTGGGGCTGACTGTATACTTGTATTTATTTATTTATTTATTTATTTATTTATTTATTTATTTATTTATTTATTTATTCATTTATTTATTTATTTATCTATTTATTATTAATTAATCTATTTATTTATTTCTGTCATAAATCATCTGTTCTATGAAATCTATATGCAGAGTTCTCTACATGGAATACGTACAAAAAATAAAACACAGAGGCATCGAAGGGTACAGATTCACTCTGCCAGAGTTCCAGCTGGCAAATCACACAGTGAACCCAGATAATGTCTGCTATTGTTATCCGGACGACAGCAATTGTCTGGGTGCAGGGATCATCAACTTGGTTTCCTGCATGCGTGAGAGTTTTTTCTTCTCATTACGATTTAATCAATTTTCAGATTTAAAAAATATCTCCTTCTCAGGTGTTCCCGTTTATTTGTCAATGCCACACTTCTTCCAAGGAGCTGATGAATATTTCCTTGCAGTCGATGGTCTCATGAGGGACCCAGAAAAACACACGACGTTCATTGACGTTGAACCAGTGAGTGACGCTTTTCTGATTCCCATTCAAGTGGTCCAATCAACAGCAAAAAACTTGAAAATTGCACTTTCGAATGTCAAAATTGGATGAATCTCATAACAATTATCGCCTTATTTTTCCGCTTATTTCCTCTTTTAGGAACTAAACCATAGTAAGGAAATATGTGCTTTAATGAAGTAAAATTTGTCAATCTTGGCAATTTTTCCAAAGAATTTATGTCAGAGATTCCTTTCGGGAACTTGAATTATCAGGTTGAAATTAATCATGCAATATACGTATGCAAATGTGTTACTTTCGAGAGCCGCTATTTATAATTTATGTTGAATTCTTCGAAATTCAATCTACACAAAATAGAGCTGCTCATTACATCGAACCACTCAAGAATAAAAATTTCTCTCTAGTTGATGGGTGAATTTTAAATGAATTTTCAAAGTATTTCTTGATAATAAATACGTAAATCAATGAAACTTTATTCGTGCATTGCGAATCTTTCGTAGTGTGCGATTAATAAAAAAAATTAGCAAAACATACCAATAATTGCAGCTGACTGGGTTTCCTTTGAGAGCCGCCAAAAGAATTCAAATGAACTTCAAAGTGAGCAGCTACGATTTGCCAAGGTTTCCAGCTATTCTGAAAAACCTTCCAGACAACCTGATTCTTCCGCTCTTGTGGGTCGAAGAGGTAAAGTTACATTTTTAGAAAGATTTCATAACGTTCCGAGTGATGTGATCATCTTTCAATGATTTATGCCCAGTACGGAGAACTGGACAAGAAATTGGCTGACGAATTCAAGAGCAAAATCTCAACTCCGTTGGAAGTCATGGATGTCATGCAATGGGTTTTACTGGCATTCGGTGTGGTTGTTTTGTTGGCTGGTGTTGGCCTGTTCATCAATGCTCGCAAGGTGTCTGCAAATTAAATGCGTTCTTGTCCTTTTTATCATGTCTGATGCACTTGGAAAATCCGGAACAACTTTCACTGTTTTTTATTGTGGAATTTGCCTATACTGTCACTTATCATGGTGAATGTGATGCTCGCAGTTTAGTACAAGAATGGTTGAAAACAATTGATGTCTGTTAATGCGGCTCGAAATCAGATAAATTCAACATACTGTGCTTCGGAATATCTTGATTTTTACAAGATATATCTCATGTTCTGACACATGAATCAGTGGCCAACAATATGAAATAGCTTCTATCAGCACGTACGAGGAAAATTATTAATTCAGTCAAGTAAAATCTCATTCCAACAAATACCAATACAGTAAACAAAACTTTTCAGTATGACACATTTTTTTCCAAGCCCTGACAGAAATCCCAAGGGGTACCTGCCTAAATAAAATGAGAATAAAAATTATTGTTGCAACTAACTCTTCAATTCCAGTACAACAGACTTTTTCAATGAAAAAATGGCATTCCATGAAAAAAAATATTTACCCAGCAAAACTCATCTTAAAAGTGGGTTTGGATGCTTCGAAAATCCTATTGATGCCCAACAACTGTAACCTTTTATGGAACATCCACCCTTACAATCTTCGCAGAAATAGCTCAGAAAGAGTTCAGAGTCCACAAAAAGTACGGTTTACCTGTTATTCAAACAAATTTCATCATTAATAATTCATTATTGACTTTTGAATTCTTTTGCGAAGAGCACAGCTTTTGAAATGTGAAAATATTTGAAAAGGCCACAAAAGGATGTCTTGAATATTTCCAGGTTCAATTTAAAAAAATGTTTCCAGTCAATAATTCCTAAAATTTTATAAACAAATAATGTATTATAAATATTTCTTCAATACATGACAAAAGAGGAGACCAAGGAAAATGCTTGCAATAAAAGTCCTTATCAATGAATGATCTTTCTAATCTATAGCTATACACAAACAAGAACCCATAAAAGTGTAAAATTCTGACTTCTTCATTTTCACCATGTTCAAAACATAAGCTTCTCATTTGTAGGAAATTACATCACACAATCCTCTTATTGTCATGCACTTGAACTTTTTCTCAGAGTAGGTACAGTACTTCAAAAAAGCTCCAAAAACTGTACATTAAATGAATTCCTTTTGAACATGTCACAGTATAGTTCAGAATCGATAAAAAACCGATTTAATGCGCAAAAGTTCGAATTTTCAAAACGTATTGAAATCTTGGCTCAACAGATGTAATGTAGGTGATCCGTTCGATTTTCATTGGGTGAATGAAAGTGAATGCGTTGAAACAAACAATGAAGTTCACCCACGACTTTCGCCAGCTGTTTTTTTTTTTACAAACATGACAAAGGTAGCCATTTACTGTAAACGTCGGTTACGCCGACAGAACTCAAAAATTTTGGAAGAGAAAAATGATTAAACTCAATTCCTTCCTGCACGGAAAAAATATGAGTCTTTGCCTTAAGCTCTAAGCCTTCTTTGTTGCTGAGGAGCCATCCGATCTAGTCGTCGAAAAGCCTTCTTCTCAACAACGTCGTCTTCCTTATCTTGTCTCTTCTTATTGTCGCCTGCAGCGACTTCCACTTGACAACTGTCTCCCTTGGCGTAAGGATCGATTGCAGAGGAAGACCGCGACGCTTCCGCGCGACGTCGTTGGGCACCTATCATCGGTCTAACGAAAGTTGTCGCCGCGGTTCGCGTAATTTTACGTGTAGGTGTCGCTGAACGTCTCTTTAGTGCTTCGTCATCCCCTGAACCACCTCGCTGCGGCGATTGCTGCTGCTGATGTCGACGCGTCCTCGGCTTCGACGCGTCGTCAGCATCCGTTTCTCTGTACTGACGTTGCCTCGCTTCACGACGAGCAGATCTTGTGTTTGATAAAACCGGGGCAGATTTCGGTGCGAAATCGTCGTCTTCTGAGGCGAAATCATTCCCAATGCGAGGTTGTCGACTTTCGTGTCGATTCGACCTCGTCAGCCTGCTTATCGGAATGCCCGAAGAATTGCTTCCCAATTTAGAAGGTTCCTCGTCTTGCAATCGATGTCGAGGTTTTTTACCGCACCGCAGAAACAGTTGCTGTCGTTATAGCCCTACTAACGAAGACATTAACTACGACAATTAACAACCGAGTCATTACTGACAGTACCTTAGAAGAAGCAGGAGAAGAGCGTTTAATAGAAGAGCTGCGTTCGAACCCGACAGTCTGTTTATCGGGATTGCCGCTTTTTTATTTCTCAATTTCAAAGATTGCTTTTCTTTCAATCGATGCTGAATTTGTCTTTTGTTGACGCCATCGTCGTCGTCGTCGTCGATATCATCTTTGTGATTTTTACTGGTTGACGTGGGCTCAATCGCCGTCACGGAATCTTCCTCGCCTCGCCAATTATCTTCTCGACGCTTGATGATCTTTGTGTCACTTTCTGTATCTTGTTGTTGTTGTTGTTGTTTTTGGTGTCGAGACATTGGTGCTGCTGAACTCTGGTGTCGACTTCGATGCCGAACACGAGATTTACTTTCCCTGGATTCATTGTCTTGAACACTAAATCTTCCGCTCGCGTGTCGAATCATCTCGTCAGCAACACCAGCAGCATCGTCATCGTCATTGCTGTCGACAACGTCTAGTGTTGGCGTCTTTGTCAACGACAGCAATATCGGGATGATTGCTTCTGTAATTGATGCTGTTAATTGTTGGCTCAGTAATGACTGTCATGGAATCTTCTTCGTCCTCTTCTCGCAAATTATCTTCTCGACGCTTCGAACCCGACAGTCTGTTTATCGGGATTGCCGCTTTATTATTTCTCAATTTCAAAGATTGCTTTTCTTTCAATCGACGCTGAATTTGTCTTTTGTTGACGCCATCGTCGTCGTCGTCGATATTATCTTTGTGATTATTACTGGTTGACGTGGGCTCGATCGCCGTCACGGAATCTTCCTCGCCTCGCCAATTATCTTCGCGACGCTTGATGATCTTTGTGTCGCTTTCTGTATCCTGTTGTTGTTGCTGTTGTTGTTTTTGGTGTCGAGATATTGGTGCTGCTGAACTCTGGTGTCGACTTCGATGACGAACACGAGATTTACTTTCCCTGGATTCATTGTCTTGAACACTAAATCTTCCGCTCGCGTGTCGAATCATCTCGTCAGCAACACCAGCAGCATCGTCATCGTCATTGCTGTCGACAACGTCTAGTGGAGGATTCATATCTCTGTTATTTACACTCGCGTCGACGTCGTCATTATTATTATTGTCGAGGGCTGTGAGAAACGACAGACTCGGCAAAGCAGCTTGATTGTCCTCTTCGTCGTCATCCTCGTCGTCGTATGCGTCATTTTCTCGACGACGCCGCTGTCGCATTTCCGAAGTCCCACTGAGCACCCGTTTGGCCCAGGAGTCGACGACAGCAGGCGGTGCTTCGTCAGCGTCGACTTCATCGACGTTGACGTCGTATTCATCATCATCCTCATCGTCATCATTGTAATTTTTATTGAGCAGGTGTTCAGGTGGTCGTTTGGTGTCGACATCAGTGTCATCTTCCAAAGCAGCAGCAGCAGCAGCCGCAGAAATAAACTGCACAGCGCTGTCATTCATCAGCCGGGATGACCTGCCGTCGATGACGCGAGGACTCGTCTTCGACATCCCGGCTGTCGACGCGGCAGCAGTAGGAGAGTCATCGTGACACAGAATGTAGTCGAGCTCGTCTTGTTGCATGTCGACGAGGCCCGAGGCCTTGTGGAATTTGCGACGCTCGTCAAAGGCGCGACAGAGTTTAGTGCGGTATTCTTCGGATGCAGATGTCACTGCTGCTGATGCCGGCGATCCCATGACGAGCATGGATGATGTTGCGCGTGACCGAGAGTCACCGAGGGTCAAGTGGCATCTGGACGGGTCGAGGGCACGGGATGACGCTGGTTGGCACACGTGACAGTGACGATCGTTGGGGTGGAGGAGACGGGGTGGCAGGCGAGACGCGGGTGGCCAGGAAGACGAGGTGCGAGATGGACAGGGAAGGTCGAGTCCGGCGCGTTTGCACAGGACCAAGTGCATGGCAGTGAGGAACTCGCGTCTGGTCAGCTTCTTGTCCTGTGGGGCATTTCATCGGTAAGATTTCATTTCAGATTCGTTTAACCCTAGGGAAAGGGCAGGTTTTGAACCTCGCAATTCAATTACCCCACAGTTCATCCATCCCGCAATATTTGACGCTTCAATTTTCTGAAAGGTGGATGAGTCATAATTCAACCCCTGTCCTGTAATTTGACCCACATAGACACACAAAACAATAGATATGATTTGGAACAGTGTTCCCCAACATTTTTGGGCATATGGATGAACAGCAAATTTACATAACATTATTTGCAGACCAGAAAAGTTAAAAAGAAAGTCTGCAGACCAGCAAATTTTCATGCGATTATTGCAGACTCCTAAAATTTTGTTCGAAAGACGTTGGTAGGTATTTAAAAATATGTTTAAAAAAATGAAGTTGAGAACCAACTAAGCAGCTTTCGTGGAATGTCTTCAAAAATTGGATAAGTGGAATAGAAGAGAGGTTTCCTGGAATGAATAACTGAAAATGGTGAAAAGTTGTCAGAAGTTTCATCAGGAGAAAAGCCAAATTTATTCATCAGATACAGTAGTTTCAACTTCAATTTCCTTTCTGAATTTCGAGATTATGATAAGAGACTTCATTGGTATTTTTGATAAATTGACTGTGCTGAAAATTTCTTGCAGACAGTCAAAGAATGTGTGGTCCACTGGATGGGGAGAGAAGATGTAGAAAGCAATGCATTTGACATTTTTTTGAAATATGACAGCTTCACAATTGAATCCTAGTCTAGCAATGAATTAAAGTCAAATTGCAGGGCACTGTTATATGACAGAGCATGCAAGGGTGTTTTTTTTTTGCCATGAGGTGTGTGACCAAAGTTTAGGAACAATTCTTAAGGTCAGGTGCCAGAGAGCAAACATTATAAAATAATTCAGATGCTACCCCAAAATCAACCTTAATCCATTGCTGGCATGATATCAAAGTGTAAAATATTCAAATGGCAAGACACAGTGTAAAATTAAGTAAAAAGCAGCACATAAGTACTACAAAAGGCGCTGAAGGAGGTCAAATTGCAGGGCAGAGGTGAAAGTGCAAGTCAACCTATCAGCAAATTTGACCATGGAATTGCAGGATGGACCAATTGTGGGAGGTCACATTGCAAGGTACCACCTGTACTGGTTTACTGATTAGGATAATTATTGTTCAGTTCAAGTTGTTCATGCATGGGTATTTATGCAGCAAATTGCCAGGAAGATGCTGGAAACTTTGAAAATTATTGTGTGGGACTTGAAGCCTTGGTCTGCTGTACAATTTTAAAATGGCTTGTGTGAAGAGAGAGAGTTTATTTTTAGCACCAAGTCTTTGCATCTTTATATGCACCCACTGTATAGCAGAAATCTTGCTCCATGACTGAAAAGTTTCTTGACACCCAGTGATTTCTGCCCTGGATCTGATTTTGTTTCTAGTATTCTGCAATTGAGGATATTGTTTTTTTTCATGATGTTGGCTCCCACTTTATAGGAAAAACATCATTTCCTACAACAGTGGTAGGTTCCCTTCCATCTTCAAAATGGGTGTTGGAATAAAAAAAAGTGCCAGCAGGTGTGTGTCTACACAATTTATTCTACAATATTTGGCTTTGCTTGAATTTAAAGACCACAGCCAATTTCAACATATAAGCAAGAGCAGCAAAATCAAACTACAGTAGTTTTCAATTTGACCAAGGATCCCAAAAATGTAGCTGGCGCTGAAAAAAGTATTTCTGTTGTTTGTTGAACTATGGTGAAATTGTAAATGGCCAATGAAGTAATCTCTACAATTAAAAAGTGTAACAGACAACTTGAATTCTTCACTGACCGATACCAAGGTAATTCTTGGACATTCTCTTTAACCTTGAGCATAGATATTGGATTTTCAAAATCTGTACAATTCTCTCATCAGGTTTGAAAAAGCAGAAGAAGAAGAAGAAGAAAACAATGCCAAATTAGTTGAACAGCATAAAAACAAAAACTCACATCTCGTGGTTGATGGCAATGGGCCAGCCATGCGACCCTGTCAGCCAGTGCGGGACAAGTCAACAAGCCCGCAGCCACGACAGCTTCAATGAATCCCTTGAAGGGAACTGTGTCAAAGGGGTCCGGTCCCAGGTCATCAAACCTCATTTGCTGGAGGAGCAACCGACGCCGTGACGCATCAGCCAGCAAGTAAGTGTCATGCCCTCGTCCCACAAACACTTTGCTCCTCAGGTCATACTGAGTGGTGGGGATGTTGCATACTTGCACCAAGCGAGCTGTAAAATGAGGAGACTATATAGAAAAGAGGTTGTGATGACTGAAGTTTTTTTTTAATATACTGCAGGAACTAAAAAATATGAAATAATCGAAGCATCAATTGTTTTCACAGTTGGCAGTTATCATTATAGATCCAAGAAAATTAATTTCGCTAGCTTATTGCAAAATAAAATGAAAAGAGGATTTTGCAAATTCGCTTTTCACTCCAGTACCATGATTTCTTGGTTGAGAATTTGTGCACAACATGTGGGATGATCTGCAATAATGAAGATATTATTTTGGCTTCATCCTTGGGTCATGCAGTAACATTTTTCTGCAAAACTCATCAGGAATGACACAATAAAAATGAATACTGTAAGTCAAGCACCAGTAATTAAGGATGGGAATTGCTTGTGCAATTTATTTGGAAAAGGGTTTACGAATTTTTCTAAAATCCAGTTGTGTTCGGGTTTGAATCCATCAGAATAGATAATTTGGTGTTCTGCGGGTATGCTTCGTAAATTTCCTTGGAAGTAACTAAATAAGTGACAATAATATGTACGAGGCTTCGGGGAAACTTTCTCATTCAAATAGCCAATGGGAAATTCAGTTACAAATGTGGCAATTTAATGATCAGAATTTTCCGAGGTCAAAAAGAAGTTCTTGGAAATTGTCAAGATGCCGTTCCTTCCGAGACTTAATACACAACCGGCGTCGATACGCAAGTTTTTTATTTATTTAAGATTTTGGGATTATCAAATGCAAAAGGAACCTGTCAATCACATTATGGAAGTGTTCTTGATTTTATTCTGTTTGACGTTTAGCTTTGAAAATACAGTATATGTCTGTTACAGAATATTTCCAAATTGTAACGTTGCCCATAAAAAAAATAAATTTGCGATACGACCGAATAGGGACTCTGAAGAATATTGATAAAACTGAATGTACACCATAATGTGATGTACTTGTATGTACTTGTATGTTAAGAGTATGCTCTTAAAAAACCCCCTTGATATGATCACTTTACATGAAGATGCTCATTGGAAACCTCAATACCCTTACACAGCCTTGCCAGAATATTTTCGAATAAAAAAAAAATCGGGATTCAAGTCTCACCCAGAATTTTATTGACGAGGGCATTCGCCTTAATTTCGGATTCAATTAATTGGTCTTCGGGTATGACAGTTGGCAGAGACATGGGCGAAGACGCTGATGATCCTTCCAGTTGTTTGTAGACCAACAGGTCACGCAACAGGTCAGGACTGACCGGAAGTGCTGATGTCGAGCAGTGACGTTTAGCCCGGGTCACGTACAACTCCAAATTCCCGAGGATCCTTTGCCTCGCTTTCTCACTTCTATTTGGAACTGGAATCCTCAATCCTGGCAACCCTGGTATCCCAACACTTTCCGGCAACTGAAATATGATTTTAAAAAAGACCCCACAGGATTATTGACTCTTCCTATGGAAATTCTATGATGAAATTTGAGGTTAAGTTTGTTTATTTCTGCATCCATCTCATCCACGTCGAATTTTGGGAGCACTCTGGCTACTCTTTTTTCACCAGAATTTAGCAATAAAAAAAAATAAACTGACTTATCGGGCTGCTGACCACGTGAATTTGCCTGAATAATAGATTACCCCGCTCAATGTGTAAAAATTTTCTAAATTGCATTCAAAATCTTCAAAAGTTGCCAAAAACTCTAATAATGACTACTTAATTAATTTGAAAATTCGGATCATCGCAAATAGAAGCGGAAACACGCGAATGATTTCGAAACATCTGCTAGGCTGGTTTTGTTTTAAATACTGTATTCTGAAAATTGTACTGATTTAGTACAGCTAATTATATGTGCGGTATTTCATAGCCCGTATTACACTAAATCTACGCAATTCTTTTCCAACGAAAAGTGTGAATTACCTTGTACAGTACGTTCATTTTTTCATTGTGATGTATGATGAAGCTCAGATGTCCGTTATTTTAAAATTATATAAAATGTGCCCTTGTGCACAGGGAGATAATTCCACTTATAAAATTGTGTATGAAATACTCTTTTTTCATAGAAATGTAGTCAATAGAAAATTGAGAGTCATCAAACCGTCATCGAAATGCACCGAATTTTCAACACCCGAAACCAGCTTTTCTTCAAGGAATTTCGTTCCATAGATTTGGCAGCCCAACAAAATCTGTAGTATGAATGATCTTCGCATACAACTTTGCTCTGAACTCCCTGTATTTCGAGTCCACTAATTAGCTATTAAAGCTACATATCATTTCCACTCATTTTCAAGCGTTGGATTGGGCAGGATGAATCACAGGCTTTTGCTACACTTTTTCTTACCCACACATGGAATGAAAAAAGGTTGTTAACCAAATTGCGATTTGTTAGCCGAGGCAGCTGAGGCTCAAACCATAAGGGTGTTGACCAAAACGTTTGTAGGCCAGGGTATATTTGTCAAGCATTAACCGAGACCCCACTGGAACAAATGGAAAATTCCTAATCCTTCAGCTGTTGAAGTTGACTCCATATTTTTTCCATAAAAAATGTAAATGTATAAAAAAAAGCTCACTTTGAAAGGAAGCGTCAAAGATGGTAAGTCTGCATGCACGGCGTTTACAAAATGGGCCAGCCCGCGGGCCAGCTTCGTCCGCTGCAATAAATCATCAGCCCGACGCAGCACTGAACACTGGGCCATGTAGAACAAGTCCCGACACAATGCTTCCTCTCCTGCCCGAAAGAGGGCGTCTGTGACTCCTGCACTGTCTGTAGAGCTACGAAACAAGTTGGCGCCCAGTCTTGGTAGTCGGGTTCGCGTTCCCAGAACCCGGGCCAGCTCCCACATCAACTGGCTGGTTTTCTGCACGTGTCTCAGAGCAGACGGGCATCCAGTGCTTTTCTGAGACCTCTGCGGGATATCAAGCATATATTTAGCAGAATTTGAATGCATAATGTGACGAACAGATTGCGTCATCCGATCGTTAGTTTAAAATCCTTCGTGGAAAAAATTCAACTACGGTTTCTTAACATTGTCATGGGATATTTTGATCACGATTACTCATGTCCAACATGCAATTTTTCAAGAAATTAGCTGCTCGGCAATTTTCATGAGCAAGTTATTTGATTGAGAAACACATGCAATTAATGACTGCATCATTATAACCTACGTAAGTTATGTAAGTGAAGCTCTTTCCCAAAAGCTTCACGACGATGTACATGCAGTACATTGAAAAACTTTTATGTCGCAGTTTAAGTTTCCTTTCGAGTACTCCATTCGCGTTTAAATATTCGTACTTGAAAGCATTGAAAAAGTCTACTAGGGCATTTTTTTACCAAGAAATTATCTACAGAGAAATTATCTTTTCAACGATTTGTTTCTTGTCCCTCGAGTTTCGTTGTGGAGAGAGTTCATCTGCAATAAAATAATAGTTCATTATGAGTAATATTCAAATATTACAAGAATCTCATTACCACGCATATCTTTATAACAAATATATGATTGCTTTACAACTTTTTTTAAACCAATCGCAGTCCAATAGTCACAATGCAATCTTAATTCAATTTTAACACATTTTTGTTAAAATATGAAGCTTTTTAACCCTTGTGCAGCAGTGGGTTGATTTCTATCACTTTGCAGAGATGGGGTATTTTTGCAGGTTTGCACATTTTGGTTTGACAAAAGTTCACTGAAATGCAGCCTTGGCTGGATATAGCTGATGTCCAGAAAAATCTAAAAAAGTTAAACCTTATGTCACTTTAACCCCCAGAATAATAATCCTACGACACGTATGCTGAAAAAAAAAATGCATCCAGCAGTGAAAACTATTTTTTCGAGGAAAATTTCCCGCAGTAAGTTTTGAAAAATGGGATTTTCCCAGACGTTGGCTCTTTTGACCTGACATAAATAAAAAAGCAAAGGATAATTTTTTTTTGCGTTGCATGGCACAAAAATTGAAGAATATTTCCTGGTTCCACAGAAGAAATGTCAAGGTCCCAATGATTTGTTGTAATGACATTATATTTCACTTGAAATAATAATGAAATAGTGGTTCACGATTCAGATGGAGTACTCACTATCGTTCATTTGATTTTTACATGTCGATATTATTGCCAAAGTAAGGGACTCACGTTCAACTTGGTCGAATTGGGATCGAAGAAAATGTCGATAGTGATTCTGGACACCCATCTGCGCAAAGCATGCAGAGCAACAGCCGCCTTCGGGCTCACAATGTTCGGCGAAGAACCCGCATCCAGGGTCACGAGGATCCTCTCGGCCCTGGCAGCCAGAAACTGCAGTGCTCCGCAGTACCAATAGTCCAGCTCAGCAGTGCCTTCCATGTCCTCATCGTCACCATAATTATTATTATTGTCGTCATTTGCGCCATTCATCCCCGGTGATGACGGCAAATCCGGAGCCACGACGACAGTCATCCTGGCAGCAGTGTAAGACCCCTTCACCAGGAGCCCTGTGACGTGGTCAGTGAGGAAACTCGACCCAGCTCCAGCGGCATCAGCCAGTGCCCTGAGGTCAACCAAGTGGTGTCTGTGCTTTTGTGCCAACACGGCACCGTCCATGACGTTGCAGACGGGACCATCGCCGTCCTCGTCTCCGTCATAGTTGGACTTGAGCTTGACACTGGCTCTGCTTTTGTTGCTCAGTGGGTTATTCTGCTTCTGGTGGTGCCTCGCGAGAGACATGGTGTATTGCCGGTGCAGGGATGGGTCCTGCTGAGCTTCGGGCTCTGCGCCAGGCTCGTCGTTGAAGATGAAGGTGAAGGTGCCAGCGCTGCCGAGGAATTGGCGCCCGTCGGCGCCATCCAAGCTGCAGCCAACCAGTTGGGATACCAGCTCCGCGTGGTTGGTGTTTTGACTGGGGATGAGCAGCACCATTGGAGCAGCCTGGAAAAAAAATGTGTTCAAGAATCTCATGTGTTGCAGAAATAGAATTCATTCATCTACATTTAGAACAAGGCTTTTGAAGTCACTGTTTGCACCAAAAGCTTGTGCATCAGTGAGATAACAATCTGGCTTGAATGTTTTCCAGATTATTATAATGGAAGAAAAGTTAGGTTTAGAAAAGTCAGAATATCTCAAGATCTGTTAATTGGGTCAATTTGTATATCATACAAGAAACGTTGAAGAACATCTTTGGCTTTAATTTAAGGTGTTGTGAATTTTTTTAACTGTACAATTCGTGGAGTTATTTGCTTTGGAAGTTTGCGCAATGAGAAATGTACCATAGGCAAAGCATCTTTACTAATTTTATATATATTTTTGAAAGCAAGTTTTTATTGCACAATGTGAGATTGTATTTGCTGATTGTGTGTGGGTGATTGTTGTCTTCATGAAACCTGTGATCAGAGACCATAATGAGAGTCCTCTTTTAACATCCAAGGAGTGAGGATGCTCCAGCTTCTCTTATTTTCTGCAGCCGTACTGTAGTTTTGAACTTCTAAAATTAAATTCCCTTGGAGGCTGGGTAACTGCCTCAGCACTCAGATGTCTCTTGCATCTGGAATATTTTTAATGCAGCTTAAAATCTGCAATACTCATGATACGCAGTCAAACTCTTTAAGTTGAATTTGAAGGGATCAGCTAAAAAAAATTGGGTTAGATTTTGTTGCCTCAAACTGGTATAACCAACTAAAATTGTATTTCAAAATTGCTGATCAGGAAACTGAATTCTCTCAGTTTAATTGTTCTACCAATCAGAGACTTGGTCTTAGATACTGTCGCGAATTTTTGGAGGCACTTCTGCAGAACCAAGCATATCGAATTTAATCACCAGCTTCGAGCTGACGGAAAGTAATTTTTCATGTCACTCCTCTCAATGTTCAAACTTAATCTTCAAAGAGAAAACGCCAAACGGCGCCTTTAGAATTTAAAATCATAAACAGTTAAATTCCCTTGGAGGCTGGGTAACTGCCTCAGCACTCAGATGTCTCTTGCATCTGGAATATTTTTAATGCTGCAGCTTAAAATCTGCAATACTCATGATACGCAGTCAAGCTCTTTAAGTTGAATTTGAAGGGATCAGCTAAAAAAAATTGGGTTAGATTTTGTTGCCTCAAACTGGTATAAACAACTAAAATTGTATTTCAAAATTGCTGATCAGGAAACTGAATGCTCTCAGTTTAATTGTTCTACCAATCAGAGACTTGGTCTTAGATACTGTATTCAAATTGTTTCAAAGCTTCCACAGAATACTAAGAATACTCTGAAAAGAGGTCTTATATGAGATTTTTTAAAATTTGTCTTATTCACAAAGCAATATAACATGTATTGCAGAGCAGAATAACATCAACAAGGTTTTGCAGCAGAGTCTGGTAACAGTAAGCTTGCCTCAGCATTTGAGGCACCTATATTTAGAGATTCATGAGGTTTTGGTTTTGGATTTTGCATAAAAACCAACTTTGGTTGGTTTCAACATAATTTTTTGCGCAGCAAACATAGGAAAATTTAATGATTTACAAAGGCTTTTAGAATAATGGAGAGATGTGGGGTGCATTTTTGCACCAAGAGTAATAAAGCAGAATGAGAATTGAGGTAACAATGAAACCCTCCAAAGTACTGTTTATATTGTAGTCTTGATTCATATATGACTAAAATTTAGAGATATTTGAGTTAGGGAAACAATTATTTTTGGTGCAGGACAGAAATAAGAATTGCTTGAAATTATAACTGGTGGTTTACTGGGCCTAAAATTGATACCTAAATGGATTAAAAATATGCTGAACTTGGAGGCTGGTGTTCATTGTCCAATACTGGTCTTTCACCTCCTTTCAAACACATCAAGTTCCTTCTTTTATTGTTGGGTTTTTCTGAGTCAATAAAATAAAAGCTGACAGACCTCCAAAAATTTAAAGTACTGTACTATATATGTAGGTTTGATAGGAGAATCCGTTATGTTAAGAATGCTTTTAATGCATTTTTTTCATGCGGGAATCCAGACGGTGACTTGGAAAAAAATTCAACATAGGACATATTTGACTTCCGGAGGTTGAAGTTATCCTGTTATTATTTTCTATGGTATTTGCTCGTGATTGAACTAAGCTTGTAATAGAACATAGACACTAAAAAAATTAAAATGTCTCGAGACTACCTGGATTTTCACCACTTTATAAAAGACAAACCACCTCGAATCTCAAAAGACCTAGAAAATATCAACTATTCCTATTCAGTGGCCAAAAAGTATTCAAGTTCGAAAATGGCATTCAAATATACAAACGAAGTCAAACCCGATCAGTAATTCAAATTATACCCATACACATTGTATCTACTGAAAAAATCAATTCCAAACAGAAAAAAAACACAGTGGAGTTTATACGTACAATGAACCAAAAATAAAAAAAATAAACTGGCAAATACGGTAGAATTCTTCCATTCATTAAGTAGTGTTACTCTGAAATTCAACTCTTCAAGTCTCCAGCTCTCGACACATCATCACGTTCGGTATTCTCTTGAATAGAAAAAAAACTTCACACATTTCGATGAAAAGTACGACGGAGTTTTTCAATTCGACATCCCTCATTTACAGGACCAGGAATCGATACAAAAGCAAAAAAACTTTTCCAAGGTCCTTTTTTTTATACTGGCTGAATATATAAATACAAAAAAATACCTTGAAGTCCTGCTCAGCCAAAGGCGTATCATACACTTCATGAAAGAAGGTTCGATTTTCCAATGGCAGCACATGCTGACAATACACGGCATGAAGCTGGTCTCGAAGTGCTGCCAAAGCGCTTCCTTCCTTCCGATAAAGAAGATCATCACTAGCGGCATCTATTGTCCCGTTCATGTACTTGAGACGTTGCCATTCTTGCCACACCCAAGCCATGTCGCTCTAGGTGAGGAACCTTTACTCTCTAAGCCTCTCTATGTATTTCGATGAGTAACACGCTACAGAGGGAAGGAGTTAATACAAACGAGGAATTTTGAAGAAAAGGCCCCTATATCATGCGACGATTTACCCCCTTCGTATTTTCACATGCCTGCAGTGGAATTAACATTCTTTGAAACCATGCAAATCCCCCAAAACCTCCCCTCCTGAACGTTTTTTAATTGATCAGTACATATCCTCCTACAGGAGATTTAACGAATGGGCGAACAATTTGGAAACCTTCACTTGGACTTTCCAACATATCTGCTTCTATGCGCAATACTGCAGTTTTCCTTTTTCGTGCATAAATTTGTCTTTCTTCATCATTTTAGCAATTTTTTCACATAAATATTCTCCGTGCTTCCCAGGCACAGTATTTATGATCGTGCTGTTTCATTAAGCAGCTTCCAAACTTTTCTAATCTCCACTAGATTTTGCTGTTTTTAGCGATAAATGTTCAATAATATCCACTTCTCAGCTGATACAGATGAACCTGGATAATACGAACCTCTTACGGTTTAACTAAGTGGAATGCCTCCCAGTGTTGATTTTTCAAGCGACTGTCTGAATTTCCTCTTCAGACTATCCATGAAAAACCTCCCTAATCCGAGAGACTCATTTCTTTCTTAAACCCCCGAGAACTCGAGGTTTCTGGAGGCCTTTTGGCTTTGTTTTATCAACAGAGGAAACAGAAAATCATGAAAATGTCGTTTGATGTTTTTTGAAAGAAAGTGAAATGCTAGTTACGCAAAAATAAACAATTGCCTCCAATTTCTGCATTTAAAAATAAATGCAATGCTCAGAATATCACAAATTAAAATTTCGTGTAATTCTTATTTTTTCCATCAGCAGAAATGCTTCTTTCCCTAATTCAAAACCTCCACAATTTTTTTTCCGAGTCTCTTGAAATTTGACTTTAAGAAAATTGACATTAATTCGCTATATACATGGAATATTTTATTAACTTTTCCGCTAAAATGTCTTGAATTGAGAAGGCTATGTGCTCAAATCTCCATGATATGTGCTTATAATTTCCACAGATCAGTTGTCAGAGATTTTTAGGCACGTACATGAGGGTACATACCGTATCTCCTTATTGTCAGAACTTTTCCTTCGCAGCAAATAAAGCTCTTTATTCCGACGAGCGATTTTCACAATCCTTATTTCATGTTTATCGTCTTCTCGCAACTTTATGAACTGCTGTTGGCGAAAGTCCTTTTCATTAAGCAGCTTCCAAACTTTTCTAATCTCCACTAGATTTTGCTGTTTTTAGCGATAAATGTTCAATAATATCCACTTCTCAGCTGATACAGATGAACCTGGATAATACGAACCTCTTACGGTTCAACTAAGTGGAATGCCTCCCAGTGTTGATTTTTCAAGTGACTGTCTGAATTTCCTCTTCAGACTATCCATGAAAAACCTCCCTAATCCCGGAGACTTATTTATTTCTTAAACCCCCGTAACTCGAGGTTTCTGGAGGCATTTTGGCTTTGTTTTATCAACAGAGGAAACAGAAAATCATGAAAATGTCGTTTGATGTTTTTTGAAAGAAAGTGAAATGCTAGTTACGCAAAAATAAACCATTGCCTCCAATTTCTGCATTTAAAAATAAATGCAATGCTCAGAATATCACAAATTAAAATTTCATGTAATTCTTATTTTTTTCATCAACAGAAATGCTTCTTTCCCTAATTCAAAACCTCCACAATTTTTTTGCGAGTCTCTTGAAATTTGACTTGAAGAAAATTGACATTAATTCGCCATATACATGGAATATTTTATTACCTTTTCCGCTAAAATGTCTTGAATTGAGAAGGCTATGTGCTCAAATCTCCATGATATGTGCTTATAATTTCCACAGATCAGTTGTCAGAGATGTTTAGGCACGTACATGAGGATACATACCGTATATCCTTATTGTCAGAACTTTTCCTTCGCAGCAAATAAAGCTCTTTATTCCGACGAGCGATTTTCACAATCCTTATTTCATGTTTATCGTCTTCTCGCAACTTTATGAACTGCTGTTGGCGAAAGTCCTTCCCTTGAGTATAACTGTATATACTAGGTCACACCGTGCAACCTGACAGCCCGAACGACGGAATCTCGAGATCCTCAACAATATCATTCTTATTCCAAGAAGAGAGAGAGAGAGAGAGAGAGAGAGAGACTATCCATGAAAATGAGAGAGAGAGAGAAACAAATAAATAAAGCGAAATCGTGTGGGCGCTCCTCATCCTTTCTATAGACGACGTATACAACAACCACCCGCATCTCGTGTGGCTTGCACGCCTCTTCATAACCCCCCCCCCCCCACACACACATACACACACTGCAGGAAGAAGAGAAAGTGTCAGAAGTGTCGCTGTCAAAGGAAGATCAATGACGTTATCAAGGATTCCCCCGGGGGTACTTTGCTGATCGACAGCCTGCTAGCAGCAGAGAGTGCTGTCGCGTGTACGCGCATTTTGTCCCCTGACGTCGCTGCATCAATCTCGTCGCCCAAACTACCGCGCGCACCTTTCCGTCCTGCGGGTGCGACACTCATGAATCATGGTTGGTTGTCCGGGGGTGCAAGATAAAGGGGAGGTGGGGGGATATATCTCCAGCACCTCCACCACCAACACCACCACAGGTTTACTCCCCCAAGGGCAGGGGGGGGGAGGTTATATTATTATATGGGCCCACAAACGAGGGTCACCCACGACGTCGTCTTCAAGCGCAATACCGGGTGCTGGAGAAATGATTTATGTACATTATTGTGTTCTGGTGAGAGGTTGTCTCATAAATACAACCCTGTTTTTTTCGCAAACATGCTTGGTACCTTGTTTATTATTATTTTTTACCAAAACCTTAAATGTGATACATGAAACTACAAAAAAGTGTATGCAATTTTATGCAGGGAAACCCAGAAATACGGATATCCTGAAATATGGAAGATTTGACTGCTGAGGGACACTTGCAACTTGAATATCCCTGACATCCTGACAGTAACTGGAATGTTATTTAAAAATTTGGCAATGTCCTGTTATCTCTGTACCTCATTCCTAGACTGCACTACCATCCTGACACATCTTTAGGACAAGTTCATAATCACAACACCCTACCAGAAACTGTAAATTTTATTTTTCTGCATTCTGCTGAAACTGATTTTGGGAGGCAGTTAGGTAAAGTTAGGTTAGGTCAGGTTATGTTAATTAAAATATTTTTGTTACTAACATAACCTGACCTAACCAAACTTTACCTAACAGCCTCCCAAAATCAGTTTCAGCAGAAACCTAAAGAAAGCAGAAACTGATTTTGCAAGGCAGTTAGGTGAAGTTAGGTTAGATCAGGCTAAATTGGTCAGAGGAAAGGTACAGAGATAACAGGAAAGTACCAAATATTTGAATTTTCCACATTTTTGAGATACAGTAATCACATTTACAAATGCTAAACATGAGTTTCATGATGAAATCACCCTAATTCATTATCAAGTACAGACTATAACTTTGTGGTTAGTTTTCCAGTTTTTTTCATCCCCTGGGCTCAGTATATTAGCAAGACGTTTTCCCATCATTTGGTTCTTTTGCGTTGAAAGAATAAAGTCGTCAAATCTATCTTGAGGATCAAATGTCGGCACATATAAGTATAGATACCCTGTGTTTCTCCCTATTTGTCAATTTCATCCTGCTCAACAGGCTCAGAACACGGAGCAGTGATTGAGGATTACGACGTTTCATTGAATGCAAATGGGTTTCCGGAATGCATTATAAATCATGCCTGTGAAGGCGAATTTCCTGACGAGATTGCGGGCTTTTGATTCAATCAACACCCGAATAATGGATCGCTTCGTTATGTACAGTATATATGAATATATTCACGCACCAGAGAGACGAACGAAGATGTCTTGAAAGTGCATTTTTAGACATTCTTCTCATCTGGTAATTCAAGGATTATTGATACTGCATTTTCTAGGCATGCATTCTAATAGATGAACCTTTTAAATAAACAGCGGCATAAGACAAAAAAAGAAAATCACGAGATGATATCAAACTTCACTTTTCATGCTCTATGCATACTTTTCGTCATTATTTTGCCACCATGATTTTTATTCTCAACTACATCCTTGAACTTCCTGACGGCTATAAAAAACCGTCTCATGCAATATTCCTGCTCAATGTTCCGTATAACGAACATTTTCCATGCGTTGAGACGACAGTCGCGCATGAGGCCCATTTGAATATCACGGTTGAGGTAACTTCTTCGTGTATCAACATTCGTACCATTTTTTACCTTGTCGAGTGAAGGAAGTTTCATGAGGAAGTCGGAGAGAGAGAGACAGAGAGAGGAAACTTTACTTGACATATCTGCAGTGCGAATGTAAAGTTCGGTGCGCCCCTAAATATGGAAAAATTTGAGCGAATAAATGGTATTGAGAAATATCCAATGTTAATCCTATGCTAAGAATGTAGAAAAAAAACGCAACCCAGGAGTTAGGAATGTTTTTTTTCAGGCAACATTTTCTGCTGGAAGATAAAAAAAAATCCGACTTTTCCTGACTAGGGTCTTGGTTAAAAATTTAGTCTTGTCTCAGTGCTCATGGGCAAAACAGTTTGGAAAAATATTACAACTTTGCTGCAGCAGAGTTCAAAATAAAATCATCAGTTACAATCCCTCAAAATAACTGTGGATAAAAATTGAAATGTATGAATTTACACTTGCATGCATTCTCATGTAAAAAAGCAGTGGTAAAACATTGATCACAAAAGCCATTGACTACACATTTTGTAAACTCCAAAAGAAATTCACATCCTAGAAATAAATAGGAACAGAATTCTCAAAAAACCAGAAAGACCCTTGTGCAAAGAAACATGGTTTCCTGAAAAACAATGGAGCAAAATGTCACGTTGACAGGGGAATAGCGGAAATCCCTTGATGCATTGATTTTTTTCCTCAACCAAAATAGGTAGTGGGTGAAAAGTTGGGGCTTTGATGCCCCACGGCTGAAAAAACCCTGGTTAAAGCAAAATTTATGCAGATATCCATTTTCTGGCAGAACAGTTGTGGAACTTACTGTTAGCAACTGTTGTATTTTTTGTGTGTTTGACGCGTTATTCTGTCACTTTTTTGGTGCATTATTCTGCCAGGAGTGTGTTTAAAAGCCACATTTCTTCAAATGCAAAATCAGTTTGGTTTTAGCTGTTGAAGAGAACAGTTAGAAATACAGAAGC